ATTTCTTTTTCACCTTGGTGGATTTTGAACATGAGCTATGCCGGATAGTTGAGAAAAGCCAGAGAGCCTTTGGTAAGTCCATTTGAATCCATGAGCATAGCAGAGAGCTTCACATAAGTCTTCCATGGGTTCACCATTTGCTTTGGAGTAAAGCCTTGCAAGTAAATCAAGAATATATACAACCATCCTTGAACGAACGTGAAGTACCATCCATAGCTACAAGAAGTAAATCAACGAAAGATCCGATCGGATAAAAATTATAAAACTCATGATGTCCTGTTCCATTTCCGAAAAGACAAGATGTAACCTCACCTGAATTGGAGCATGTTGTACACATATTCCTGAAATTTCAACAAAATAAGTCAAAATACAGATCCACATAAGATAGAAAATGCTGCAGAATTTCGTTAGAATTGCTTTGCAAAGGAAATAATTTCTCAAAACCCAAAATGCTAATTCTATCAGCAAAAGAAAATTAACAATTATTAGAATAAGTTTTTTTGGAAAATAGAGCAAAATGATAGTCAATAACTTGTTAATTGAAAAGGAAAAAATGGGGTCCATGCAGAATCATATCAATTTGACAGAAATTTCACAAAAAATAAAAAAAAAACGAAGATGATGATGATGAGGTAAGCATCAAAATGACAATTTTATCAGAATCATCAATTCTTTCATGTTATAATTCATACAAGAATTAAGAAACTAAAATACAAACTGGAAATCTTTAGACTCAAGTATGAACTCAAAAAGTAAAAAAGCTAACCTTGCTGATTCTTAGCACACTCATAAGCTGATTTTGGTATTCCATTCCATTACATGGTTCTATTTCTCGAATCACGTATACCATTGTTTCACCAGCTATAACAGGTGGAAGATAATGCACAAGCCTAGGATATGTCAATTAACTCATAAACTCTATCATTTGTCAATTAACTCATAAACATAAATCATAACAAATTAACAATTAACAAATAATAAAAACCAAGGAAAAAAAAATCCAAGCAAGCAAATTAGGAAGGCACCAGCCAGCAGCAAGGCACACAAATTTGAGTCTACAGTCTACACTACACGGTCTCACACTCACAGTCACAGAATAAATAAACAAAATACGCCTAGCAGCAAGTAATAATCAGCAAATTTCAAATGTGCAACACAAAAATTACCCAAGCAAGTTAGCCAAGTGCTCACCGTCACTGAGTCAAGATCGAGTGTCCCATGCTTCTGCTTCCTTTGACCCTTACCCTTCGCCTTCGGCCTTCGACTTCATAGTTTGACTGTCGTCGAATTGTCTTGCAGCTCTTGCGGTCTTCAGTCTTCAACTTTTGCCCTTTTCGTTTCCATTGTGAATTTTGTGAGGAAATGGATTGGTTTGTCATTTGTAAAGCAGGCTGATATTAGATGGATTGGTTTCGGTTTGGGCTAATTTTTTTTTTAAAAGGTCCAAACTGGCGCACAACAAACAAACACAAAAGGCCAAAAACGTTACCTCCTTCCCCAGACTGAAGCTTCGTCCGCCGCGCTTCCACACACGACCGGACTGCACTTTCCGACGAAGGAGCGTGCGTGCTGGATCCGCAGTGCAGGTTTTCAGTAATAACTCGTAAAAGGATTACAATTTTTTTCTTACATATCTAGAAATTTAAATTCTATTTTTCTGTTACATATACTAAGATTAAACCTTCGATACTATCAAAACAGGAACATGGGTGGGTAGTCTGTAGGGTTCTTAAGAAGAAGAACCACACCAGCGGCTTCCAACCCGAAGTGGACCAAGAAGATGCGGTTTCATACCAGCAGGCGAGTAGCTTTCTTTTGGATCCAAAACACCATTTTCAAGAACAATACGATTATATAATGGAACTCCAACAGGCAGAAGTTAAATGGGCATAAAGGGCGGCTTAATTGCTATTTCACAGAATGAATTAAAGTTAACGGTGGAACAAGTGGAACAAGAAATTCTGTTACTCCTCTGTTTCTTAGCCAATTTTAATATATAGAAGACATGTAAATCATCACTAATAGCTTACAACTATAGAAGAAATTGGTTCAATATTATAATCGAAGTATTGATACTTAAGGTCGATTTAATGTAGAGTTCGTGTAAAATAATATTTATGAAGAATGTGTGGTAAAAATGTAG